CAAATTGCTCCTGATGCTGTGTGTCGGTGTGTGAATGTGTATGAATGCATTAGTTACCGTTCAATGGTTTGCCATCACTGTCTGAATGTGTGTGAAAGGGTGAATGTGGCACATAGTGTAAAAGCGCTTTGATTGGTTGGAAGACTAGAAAGGCGCTATACAAGTACAGGTCCATTTACCATTTACACTCATTATGTGTATTACTTAATCCACGTTGTGTTGTGTTGACTCGATGTCCAGGACATCTAATTCTTTGCTCAAAGTCAGTTTAAGATTTAAAAAGTCTGTCTTCCACTATTTCATCTCCAATTGTATGTACTTTAATCTCAGGAATAAGGTCAAACTGATGAGAAGCATGGTACACAAGACAATTTTCAAAGAAAACTCACCTGTCTCTTCATCAATGGCAAATCGTCCAAGCCCACTCCCATCATGAATGGAGTACTGGATTTCTCCATCTCTGCCAGCATCGTCATCATTAGCGGTGACTTGGAGTAGGGTAGTTCCAATCCTGGCATTCTCTTTAACTAATCCAGTCATGGCAAAGTGGGAAAAGTATGGAGTGTAGAGGTTTTCATTCACATCAACTACCTCAACCTCCACAAAGGTGACAGACAAAAGAGAAACAGGCCTTCCCTTGTCTTTGGCCTTCACAGTGAGGTTGTAGAACTGCTGGGTCTCATAGTCCAGCTCTTTTGTCAGCCGAATAGCCCCACTGGCCCTGTCTACTTCAAACCATCCATTGTAGTCGTTGGCTAGAGAATACCGGACCTGGCCTCCTAGCCCTAAGTCAGGGTCCTGGGTTTCTAACCAGGCTACAACAGTTCCTACTGGAAGATCCTCCAGAGCTCTGGCTTTGTACACATTGGGAATAAATAGTGGGGGGCAGTCATTCACATCCTCCAATATGATTTTCAAAGTGGTCACAGAAAACTTTTGGCTCCCTTTCTCTGCCTTGTCCCGAGCCTGAATTTTCAGGTTGAAAGCTGAAACATACTCTCTGTCTAGTTGGCCAGCAACATACACTATCCCATTAGTGGAATTGATACCAAACTGAGTGGTGCTGGTCAAAACTGAGTACACAATCTCCCCACTAGGTCCAAGATCTTTGTCAGTGGCATCAACTTGGATAACATCTGTACCTATGGCAGTGTTTTCAGGTATGACAATTACATAGCCTCCTTCTTGCAAAAACTGGGGTGCATTATCATTAGCATCCTCTATGTAGACAGTAAGCAAACGCCAAGCAGTTTTCTGTGGCAGGCCAAGGTCATAGATAGTCAGATTGAGAAGATAGCGATCCCTCTTTTCCCTGTCCATGGGCAGGAAGACACTGATAAGGCCAGTCTCCATGTCGATGGCAAAACAGCTGTCAGTGTTTCCATCTGAAATGGCGTATAGAATCTGACCATTGAAACCTGTGTCACCATCAAAGGCATTCACCTTGAATACACTTGAGCCAACCTTTAGGTCTTCCTGCACAGCAATATCTGTGGGAAAAGCTTTGTCAAACTGGGGTGTTTGCCGATTGACAGAGAAAAGGTCAATAAAACCTTCCTCAATTTGGGGCTTGGTGCTAGCTTTGGACTTTTTGAGTAACTTTTCGGCTAACTTTTGGGCAACTCTTGTGTCTTTACAGTTGAAACTTTTTGGAGGAGATTTCCCATGAACAACTGATATGTTAACAAACATCGGGTCAGAAAAGTTCTCACCATCTGTGGCAGTAATTTTAAGACTAAAGACACCATTCTTTGGACTGGCTGTGGTAAGTGAACGTTGCAGTGAGAGAACCCCTGAATCCGGGTTGAGGTCAAAGTACCCCCATTCATTCCCTGAAATGATCTTATATTTTACTAGCTCTAACTCATCTATATCAATCGCAGACATTGTTGTAATTACTTCATCCACTGGGAAATCCCTAGAGATCACACCCTGGCATGCAACTTTCTCAAACAATGGCTGGTTATCATTTACATTTTCCAGGTGGATTGTTACATTGACTTCACTTTCCCGCCTGTAAGGTGACCCCCAGTCAGATGCTCTAACAACAAAGAGAAAGCTCTCGGATGAGGATTCAAAGTCCAACTCTTTAATAGTGCTGATGATACCAGAAAACTGATTGATTTTGAAGGGTAATGGCTGAAGGCTGGAAATGCTGTAAGTTATGTATCCATTTTCTCCTTTATCCTCATCCACTGCAGAAACTGTTAATACATTGGTTCCAACTGGTACACTTTCATTGACCAAAACCTCATAAGAGGACTGATCAAATGTTGGTGTGTTGTCATTGGCATCCTCAACGATTACTCGCACTTTAACTTTGATCTCGCTATCTATTTCTAATACCTCAAGATTAAAGACATGCTGGGCCACCTGAGTGAACCAGCGAGTGGTGGAAATTACGCCTGTTACTGTGTTCATTTGGAAAAAAGCTGAATCAGCAGAGGGTGTCAGGATATATTCTGCATCATCAGGCTCTGGCGTGATTTTAACAGCCTCTACAATTGTGCCAGGTGGTGAAATCTCATTCAGACTAACATCATACAACTCCCGCTCAAACTTGGCTTCCACTGTCAGCTGTTTTTTGACCATAATGTGGACAACCTTGACGGCAGAGAATTTCTGTGGGTTTCCCTTGTCTTTAGCCTGCAAAGTAAGGTTACAACCATAAGGGTAGGTCTTCCAATTTACAGACTCAGAGGCTTTTATTGCAAACTCGCCTTCCTCAAATCTTTCTACAAAAAACGTCTCTGAGGGATCTCCACCCACAATGACCAGTGAGTCTATTTCTCCATTTAAACCTTCATCTAAGTCCTCAACAGTGATCATGGCATAAACAGGGTTTTTATCAAGCCACAAGGGGCTGTGGGTTACCACATTCATGACTGGGGCATGCTCATTCACACGCTCTATATGGACAAAAAGCTTGGCTGTGCTGCTGACACCATTATTTCCATAGAGCTTCATGCCGCGGTCCACAGCAAGGATTTCTAAGTCGTACCGGTTCTGCTCATCAACATTGAGCTTTCCACTGAGAGATACCACTCCACTGGTAGGGTTTACTGCAAACAACTCAATTTTCTCTTTGAAAAAATAGTAGAACTCCCCATTGGAGCCAATATCTGCATCAGTGGCGGTAACTTGTGCTATGCTGGTCCTGAGAGGGGTGCTCTCCGCTATTGTGACTGAGTAAGTGGTGGGTGAGAACAAAGGTCGCAGGTCATTCATATCCAAGACCTGGATGCTGACTTTAGTCCAGGTCTCAAGGAGGGCCTCTCCTTTGACAGAGGCTTTCACTGTCAATACATAGTTATCCTGAATCTCTCGGTTTAAGATAGCTGCATTGCCACCTTTAGTCCTTATGCGCAAAAAGCAGAAGTCACCCAGCACATACTCTTCTGCCTTGAAAAACCCTTCATCATCACCTGAGGTGATCCTGTAGCGGATCTCCCAGGAGCGCAGGGCCTGGTGGATGCCCATTTTAACTTTACTGTTGACATAGGTGCGTGCTGCTGAGTTTTCATAAACCGTAGCATGGTAGACAGCCTCAGTGAAGCCAAAGTGAGGTCCATCCTGAGGAGCCCCCTGGGTGTTCTGGCTGCAGCAGGGTGGTGGCTTGAAGAGCAGCAACAGCAATAGCAGGACCAGGCTGAGAAGAGGGGCTCGCATGCCTGCCCACTGGCCCATTTTCATATCCATCCCATCATCATTCCATCCTGAAACAGAAAGACAGAAAGAGAGACGGACAAAAAGGTCAGCAGTGGGAGGGATTTACAGGGTACTAATTATCCATTAGACAACAGAGATTGGAAGTGGGAAGGGGAGGGGGCATTCACAGTAACCGGACAACCAGTATGAAGGCTGACATCATCCTTGTGTGGTCTCTGGATACTGGTAGTCAATTGCAAGTTTCTGAAAAACCAGAGGTGGTTTGAGAAGGAACAAAATAATTGTACGGCTAGTGTAACATCACCAAAAAAAACATCAAAGAAAATAACTGCAGAGGACAAAATGATGGGCTGCTATACCATGACCGTATCATAACCCTATTCCTAAAATACATGTAAACTGCAGCCTGGTGTCTTAAAACCATGGAATATCTCCTGAATCAAGCCAGATATGGTTTTGAAACTGTGTTCAGATCTTGTTGTCTTTTTTTTTTAGAAAAAAAGTCTTCTGAAAGTAAGCAGCCACAAATATGTGCCAATTCTGGGTTTTGGGAGAAAAGCCTGATCCGGTTAAAGCCATGTTGTGGCCATAGGAGTGCCACAGTGGTCAGCATTTCGATGACTCTGCACTTTCCACCACAAGGGTTGGAGAGATGGGGCAAGAAAAGACAGGCTGTGTCCAAGCACAGTGATAATAACACACTGCTGAAGTGCACCGGTGAAACTACAAATTCTCAACAACACACACAGACACATCTACGACCAGTTCCGAGTACAAATCAGAGTACAAACTTCTTTTTGTTTCAAGAGGGAACGGAATCCAGTGTGAACTTCTGACTAAAAGAAAAAAACGCTTTGTGAGCGTGACCATAAACCATCTCATCTGAAACAAAGCAAACCAATGTCTAAGACTGCATTTAAATACAATTCAACAGTCATTCTGGAAGAAAGGCTAGAATCCACCCGAGTAAAATGCCAAAAACAACACTTCAGTTTTCATCTGACCTTAAACTGTCATTGTCAACTTCAGTCAGTGAGAGTGGATGTGGGGGTGACCAGTGGGGTTTCGAGGACTTTCCTGCTGGAAATGTCTAGGAGCAGTCTCAGGGGAGGCACAGTAATGATGCCTCAACACTGCATTAACCCTACTGAACCCAGGCATTGTGTTAAATTTTCAGTCTGTATGTACAAAGTCTGGATTTGTTTTTTTAAAGTTTTTATGACCCCGGTCCTTCTCTTTTTCTTATTTACACTTAAGATAAATATGATTTGAGCTTCTCATCATGATTTAGATCTGTGATTCTTAAGCTTCTTAAACAGCTAATTTAAAATATACAGTATGCCCATAGATTTGTGTTCAGCCCATCTGATAGGGCTGTTGAGTTAGACAAGAATATATAGAAACAACCATTTGAAGAATTGGACTTGTACTTGTCAGATTCACCCATTCATACATTCCACCGTTGGCTGTCGAGGTGGTGTCCAGCCAACGATGTGGGCTTCATTGATAACTGGCAACCTTTTTGGGGAAAACCTATGTCTCTTTCCTCACCTGGTCAGCAGAGAGGGACAGATTGGGGCTCGGGGGCAGGGTGTTTGGAGGTGTGAGGGGGGATGGAGGTGTGAGAGGAGGAGGGTGAGAGTGTCGGTGGGGGGGGATGGGGGGCAGTATAGAGGGTGGGGGAGTGGGTGGCTAGAGTGCTGTGTGGTGGGGGGGGGTGGGGGGTTGATGAGGGGGGAAAAACAGGGTGTGTAGACAGGGGGGCTGCAGCAGGGGGATGGCTGGACCGGGAGAGGGTTGGATGTCTGATTGAACCTGTTGAAATAGGTTCAGATCATTCACCACTTCTGGTCCCCACAGCCTTGGGAGTCAGTTGTCTTTATAGCCCTGAGATGGTTTCAGGCTTCTCCAAACTCACTGATGTTGTTCTGCTGCGGGCTGATCCTCCATTTTCTTCTGTATCTGTTCTTCTCTCTATGCTTCCACTTTCAGCTCCTTCTGCAGCAGACTTTAAGCTTCTAGCCTTCGTTTTCCAGACTTAAAGACGCTCTTTTCTCCTTCAGCAGGGCTTATGTCGCGGATTTGATCCAGTTTTGGTTGGTTGGAGGAAACTGTAAGTGCTGGTGGGTACAGTGTTT